AGCCTTCGTGCAGATGTTACTAGCGCGAGGGCTAGTTTTTCGATACAAGGGTATCGTCCCTCAGCCTCGGTCATAGACTTACTCATATAGTAAACCAGATTTTTCTTCCCTCTTCTTTCTTGATAAGGACCAAGCTAACCGCCTTTTCAGAGACAACTAAGTATAAATACAACACCTCGCCAGGCAACAGTTTTGACAGTAGTGGAGTCGTGCCGAGGTACTATTTCAATTGTTGGAACGCGGTTGGCAATCGTCGGTCCACTCGAAGCGACCTTTCTTTCTCAACAATTGGAAGAAAGGAAGGCACTTATCCGTGGAGCAAGACACAAAGCGATTTAGGGCTGCGAGGAGCCCATTCAACATTTGGAGCTGCTTGATATTCCTCGGTGCTTACATCTCGAGGACCACCATTATCTTATCCGGATTGGCCTCAATTCCTCGTTTATGAACCATGAACCTAAGGAACTTTCCTGATGAAATCTCGAAGGCACACTTGCTCGGGTTAAGTTTCATCTGATACTTCCGGAGCACACCAAACACTTCTTCGAGGTCGGCTATATGCGAGCTCGTCTACTTACTCTTGACTAACATGTCATCCACATATACCTCCATGTTGCAGCCGATCTGCTTGGCGAACATCATATTCACCATCTGTTGATAGGTCGCATTTTGCGCCTCTGCTTAATAGCAAGAGGGACGAGTGCAAGTGCACACTGTCACAAGTAATAATCTGGAACTATTCCAAGTTCGTCTCCACAGGGACTATTTTTCTTTTAAAATTGATTTTGTAAACTGCTTGAATGAGCAATCGAGTTTGGGAATAAAAATTGGTCGGTTGAAATGCACGTTTTATAATTTAATAAAATAGAATTTTGAAACCAACCCTCATACTACTGACTAGTTCGAAGAGAAATGAATTACGCATATCAGAATCTCACACTAAATTTACTCTCTAATTGCAAACTGGTTCAACTCCTATGCCATACCGCTTTTGGTTTGTTTAGAAGATTAGGTTAGTATTTAAAACATGTCTGTAAAATACTAGAAGAATCCTAAGTAATTAAAACTCC